AGTCTAATAATACCAAGTGTTGGCAAGGATGAGGAGAAATAAGAACCCTCATACAGGGCTTCCCTGGTGGCGCAGTGGTTGAGAGTCCGCCTGCCGATGCAGGGGATGCGGGTTCGTACTCTGGTCCCGGAGGATCCCACGTGCCGCGGAGCGGCTGGGCCCGTGAGCCATGGCCGCTGGGCCTGCGCGTCCGGAGCCTGTGCTCCGCAACGGGAGAGGCCACAGCAGTGAGAGGCCCGCGTACCGCAAAAAAAAAAAAAATACAACATAAAAAACCCCTCATGCATTGCTGGTGGGAACGTAAAATGTGGTACAGTCACTTCAGAAAACAATTTGTCAGTTCCTTATAATGTTAAACATAGAGTTACAACATGACCCAACAATCCCATCCTGCAATACCCTAGAAAACTGACAGCATGTCCCCATTAAGAGTATATGTAAATATTCACAGCAACATTATCCATAATAGCAAAAATCTGGAAATAAATGAAATGTTCATTACCTGGTACATGGATAAAGAGAATCTAATGTATCTATCTGATGAATACTATTCAGCAGTAAAAAGGGATGAACTACTTATACATGCTACAACATGGATAAACATTATGCTAAGTGAAAGAAGCCAGGCACAAAAGACCACACATTGTATGATTCCATTTAAGTGACTTTCTAGAAAAGGCAAATCTGTAGAGATGGAAAACAAATCATTGGTTGCCAAGGGATGGAAATTGGAGTGTGCAAATGCACAGGAGAAAACTTTTGGGGAGTGATGGAAATATTGGGGTGGACCGGGGTGATGGTTGCATAACTTTATAAATTTACTAGAAGTCATTGAATTACCACGTATTAACGGTGAACTTTATGGTATGCAGATCATACCTCAATAAAGCTATTAAACAAAACCATTAACTCTTCCAATTTTAAAATGTTCTTGGGAATTCCCTGGCCGTCCAGTGGTTTAGGACTCTGAGCTTTCACGGCTGAGGGCCTGAGTTCAATCCCTGTTTGGGGAACTAAGATCCCACAAGCCGCAGGGCATGCCCCCCCCCCCCCCCCCCCCCCCCCCCCCGCAAAATGTTCTCAACTAATTCAAATTCTTAAAGGACCTTTGTGGGAAAAAAAATACCCCAAGTTTATGGCGCAAGCCCTTGGGCTGCCTACTTGCAACCCCAGTGCTAAGCTGCATGAATAGAAATTTAAATAAAATAAAATCCTTGTCCTCCGGGAGTTTAAGATACAAAGGGAGAAAATGGAACAGTAAACAGTTACAAAACCCTATGATAAATCCTACAAGCAGGATGTGCAGGGAGGTTTGGGTCCAGAGAATACCTGGCTCTGACTGAGCAGGGCTGGGGGTGCCACAGATGAGGCTGGACACTCAAGTGAGGTGTTGAAGGGTTCAGGAGATTGCAGGTGTAGAAAGTGGAGCAAAGGGGTGGGTGACATTTCCAGGCAGAGGGAACAGAATGGGCCAAGGCTCGGAGGTATGAAAAAGCAATTCCCTTTCTGAGAACTGAGAAGGTTGGAGATGTGGTTCACCTGGAGATAAAGAACAGGAAAGCAAGGCAGGGGCCAGATTGTGAAGGGCTTGGCAGGCAGTGTTAAAGTCTTTGGACAAAAGATTAAGCAGAATTTATTTGTTGGAGGAATATGGGCATCCTTCTTGTGGCCTGAATTAAACTTTGTATATCTTGGAAACATCATATTGCACTAATTTTAAAAATATCCATTAATATACTGCTTATCATGTGCCAGGCACTGCTTTAATACTTTATATAAACCACCTTAATCCTATCAACAGTGATTCTCAAATTCTAACCTGCATCAGATTCACCTGGAAGTCTTCTTAAAGCAGAGAGTTTCTAATTTAGTAGGTCTGGAGTGGAGCCCGAGAATTTGCATTTCAGTCCAGTTCCCAGCTGCTGCTGCTAGTTTCCGGGGAGCACACTGGGAGAACAAGGGCCTTACACCCATCTTATAAGAATGATATCATTATCATCACCATCATTCCCATTTTACAGAAGAGGAAACAGATGCAAGGTTAAGCAGTCTGCCCCCAAGGCCATATAACTCTTGGTGGTGGGGCTGGCCGTCAATGCTAGGCAATGTCTGCCGTGCTTCCCAGTTCACAGGTTGCAAACAAACAGAGTTAAGGGCTGGCATTTTCAATCCTTCATTGCAACTATCAAAAATACATGACACACAGACACTCACGCACAGGCCTTAACTGACATCTGAGATAAAAGAACTAGGGATGCTAACTGATGCCAAGGGGGTAGTGAGGGAAAGTCTTTGAGAAACGCTTGAGTCCATTCCAATGAAGTATTATTTTCGTCCTACTGGATGAAGCCAGGATTCAGATATGCTCAAGTATCAATGTACAAAATGACTAATTAAATACGTAAAAGGAAATCATTAAATGTCACAACTCAAAACTGAAATGTACAAGTCCTCAATCTCTGTTGTTTTCAATATATTTATTTTAAATGTTTTATAAATTATGAAAACAATATCTAGAGAAGATAACCTTGTTATACGTGCTGCTTTGGTGGGGGGGGGGTTGTCCCAAGAAGAAAACGGCAATTCTTTCGTGAATCGGCTTGCTTTTCACATCTTGATCTAATTTGTAGCATCTCCCTGGTTGCCTTCCAATAAACAACTTCTTCCCTAAATTGGTGGCATTATGTTATTTCTGAGATCTGAATCACAGAGACTGTAGTCCAAGCCTGCATACTCCATCTTGTCGTTTGTGTAGAGTGCTGTATATCTAATTAAAGCTTCTTACAGGTCCATAAAAAGACCTAACATTAAAAAAGCAGTCTGGTTTGGAGAAAGCCCCAGGGCAGAATGAAGGAGGGGCTTCTTCATTAACAATAAACACATTTTCTTGAATTCAAAGTTAAGCAATCATATATTAATTTGTACTTGAATATTTTTAAATGTTGCCTAAGCATGATCAGATCATGTTACCACATTGATGGTGCGGGACTGAAAACAGGTCAGGTTCTTGCCAGCAACACTCCAGCTTCCCAGGAAACACTGGGGATAAATAAATGATTTACCACGTGGCCAGGACTGCAGCCCTCTCTCTGGAAGAGAATTTGAGCCAACTTGATTTAAACCAAGGTATTATTCTATTCCTTTTCATTTATTGTTTTGCTATTCTTATGCCCTGTTGCCCTTACAGAATTTATTCAAAACCTGAGTTACACAGCAGCAATATAAATACTCTATTTTCCAAGGGCTTATCTACTAAGGCCATTGTTTTGTGGTTACTGTTCTATCTCAGGGGCTACAAACCTGGCTTGGAGGTCCTCAACCACCGGAATTCCCTTGGGAGACCATTAGCGTGGTATTTTTTTCCCTTCACTTGGTTTACAGGGTTCCCTGAATAGTGATATCTCCCTAAGGAGAAAAGTGCAAGGCCTTCCCGTTTGCCAGTAACAAAGGAATGAATTCCACAAACCAAGTTAGAAGCTCTTGCTTAACATACTGCTAGAGTTAGAATGTCAGTGTCAAAGTGAGATTATTCTTTTATGACCTTTCTAAGCCAGTGTTATCCCAGAGTTGGGGCCTTGACTCAGCCCTGAGGGGCAGAGGTCCACCTGAGGCCTACAGCCCCAGGCTTTCCCCAGCCAATGATCCATGACCCCATGCCAGAGCCTTAGGGTAACTAGGAGTCCCCCTTTAACCTTCTGTTATTACCCTGAGGGTTTGTACCTCCCAACAATCCACTCTTGCTTCCCAGTCGTTTTCGGACGTGCAAAGTAGATGCCAAGGAGACAGTCTGAAAAGAAAAGTCTTCTCACATTTGCAGGTCAGCAGAGACATTTGCTAAAGCCATCTAGATTTTTCTTCTCCGTCCAGTCAATTTAATCAAACTTGGAGCATCTAAGCAGCTCCCGCCTCCCCCCACATTGTGTCCTTCTTTGCTAGGGGTCCTTCCTTGGGGGAGGGGTGGGGAGCAGGGAGAATCATTAAGGGAAAAAGCAGGTTGGAGAAATCTGGCATCTGGCTTGTCACTCCCTTCCAGAAAACCCGGAGAGCTGATCTCCATTGCGCGCCAAGCTTCCAAGGGTGGGAGACGTGAGCCCCTGCCCCTGTCTCCCACCCTCCCAAACCCTCCTCTCCGGCGAGCGCTAAGTTCCCTTCGGGAGCCACCGACCCGGTGACCATGCCGCTGAACCATCCAGTGCACAGTTAATGCCTGGAGTGTTCTGAATCCCTGACTTCACATGCTTTAATACTTCCCACGACCTTTCGCCTTTCCACGCTTTTCCAGAGGAGGCAGCCTGGCCAGGCAAGGGTCTCCGGCTGACCTTTAAAGCCAGCGCTGCATTCGGATGCTGGGCTTTTTCTCTTTTTTAAAAATGGCAACAAAATCAACAAAATTCCTTCAAATTGGGTTCCCAAAGAGAAGAAACTGTAAAGAATATGTATGTGTATACATGAATGTATATTGAATTTTTTCCCTTTCCTTGCTTAAACTTGGGCGGGAGATGGGGGGAAACTTTAAAAGGTTAAAGCGCCTGGCGCCCTCGGCCCCGCGTCCCAGGACCCAGAGTCTGGTGAGGACGCGATCCCTTCCCTCCGATTTCCCCCGACGGCTTGCGCTACTTTTCTGGGCCATTGTCCCATGTCCCTAGTGCTTCCTCCTTCATCATCCCTTCTGTTCGGGCACCTCGCCCGCTTCCTACCGCCAGCCGCAGCCCAGACTCGCTGGGGTAGGGATGATGCCAGGATGCCCTCCAGCAGCCCGCGCGCCGGAGCCCGCAGGTGCGCCCCGTCCCTCCCTGCCCGCGGCCCCGCCCAGTTCCTCCCTGCCCGCGGCCCCGCCCCGTCCCTCCCTCCCCGAGGCCCCGCCCCGTCCCTCCCTCCCCGCACCCCCGCCCCGGCGTCACGTCACAGTGACGCGCGCCCCGCGCAGGCGCAAGTCGGTCCCCACCCCCTCCCCGCGGACGGCCGCCTGTTCGGTATTATGATTAGCGCTGGGTGCGGGGATTCGGCGGCCGGGAGGGAGTTGTCGGCGCCGCGGCCGCTGCGGACGGACTCCCGCCTGCTGGCTGAGGTAGGGGCGAGCGCGGAGCGCGGCCGGGCGCGGCGGCCGTGGGCGGGGGTGGGGCCGGCCTCCGCCGCCGTCGCCTCCGCCGTTGCCGGGCGCCGGAGCCGGGCTCCCGCCGCAGGCGGAAAGTAAGTTGCGCGCTCCGCGCTCCCCGCGCCGGCCGCGTCGCGCGCCCGGGAGGACGCGGGGACCCGGCTGCTGCGGCCCCGACTCCGCGCGGCGGCGGCGCGGCCTGGCGGCGGCGGGGCCCGGATGGGAGCCGGCACTGCGGCGGCTGGCCGCGGGCGCCCGGAGGCCCTGCCCTTGCGGCCGCGGCGGGATTGCGGCACCTCGGGAGGCGCCCGCATCCCCGCGCCCCGCCCCGGAGCGGGCCGAGTGCGGCGCCCGCTGGGCTCCGCTCCCAGGTTTTCTTGTGCGGTGTGTATTCTTCACCAAAGGTGTTTTCCTTTTTCAAAAGAATCTGGAAATCTGGCGTAGCAGGGGGGTTCCTTGCTAAAACTGCAGCCGTAAAATAGAATGGGGATATTGTTGTCTGTAGAGAAAGGGCATCGGGGTAAGGAAGGAGGAGCAGTGCCGTTCCCGAGGGACAGCTAGAATTTTTCAGATTGGAAAACCTTCGTTCTTTTCCATAGTCATCGCCTGTTGATATCTTTCTGGACCGTTTTACAGAAACCTTCCTGCCTTTTACTTGGACTTGGGATCCAGGAAAGTGACAGCCTTTTATCCTGGGGGGCGGGCGGGGGGTGGTTCCTGGAGCTGTGCTGTTCCAACAGTTGCATCAGATAAAATTCAATCGCTTCATAGGGAATTCGGTTCAAGTCCAGTATTTGGAGGGGAGAGGAGGGATTTAGCAGTAGGGTTCTTCAACCTATAGCCGTCTGAGGATATCGGATTTTTCACACTGTCAAGTTACTTTTTTCCCCTCCCATTTAATTGAGTACATTTCCACAGTTTTAGGAGCAGGTGGTAAAGCTGACTTAATGCGTTTCACGTTTTATGGTGAAAGGTGAAGCATGGCTAGCAGGTGATGGAACTGCAAATGTTCTGCATACTGATCAGATTCCACCTGATTCCTATCAAGCATCAGTTGCCTCAGTTTGGGTTCCTTGTATGGGGTTGGGGTGTTCGTCCCAAATCAGCCTAATTTATCAGAATGTATATCGGTGTACTTAAACGTCTGGGGTTGTCAAGGCTTATGTAATCAATTTGTTAATTTATAATCTTGTTATATGGCTCTCCAGATTTATAAAATCATTCCCTTAAGGAAATCTGTCTTCACCGTCTGCTTAAATATTTCTCTTGGAATTGGATTCCTGGAGAGAAATGTTCTGTACTAGTGGTGATTAACGCATACTAATTAGACAAGTTTAAAAAAAAATCATGTTGATTCTTTTGACTATCTAATTGTCTCTATTAGGAAAACAGGTGACATTCCCATTTTACAGAACTAGAAATGAGAGAAATGACATTCCCAAGGTCACTTATTGAAGCAGTGTAGTAATTGAAAGTCAGGTGCACTGTGTTAACTTTTCTTAATACTCCATCTTTAAGGCTTTCCATGTAGGGAACTTTGACACCGTTATATTTTTTAAATTTGCACAGTTTTTATTTTGTGCAGAAAAGTTACTCTCACCATATTAATTTTTTTACTATTTTTAGTAAGTTTTTCTGTATTATTGCAGTAAGATCCATTTGTATAAAACATACAAGGACTCAGAAGTTATGTAATTTTTATTATTCTAGAACAGAAGTATAGAGTGAGACTTTATGGGTCAAATGTAATCCCATAATCCTAAAATGAAGGCTTTCAAATGTCCTTATTAAAAGTGAAGGGCTTTCAGATATTTTTACTGGGCGCAGGAAATACTATTGGTCTAAACTTTACTATGGAGGTTTCATATAGAAAGTGAAACCAAATAGAAAAAAAACTTTATTTTGGAGATATTGAGCAGCCCAGGTTCTAAGCACTGGTATAAATAAGGCTTGATTTCTTCCCTGTAGCAGCTTGTCTGAGCCTAAGAACTCATTACACAGCCCAGGAAGAAAAGGGTACAAGTACGCTTTCCACATGGTCAGAATTTTAGGAATTAAAAACATAGATGTGAGGAGCTCTGAAGACTTGATTTTACTGCATGCCAGCTGTTTGCCTAACAAGCAAGAGGTAGAATTTTTAGCTAAGATGCTTTTATAAGAAAACTAATTATTTAGAATATGGATACTTCCCAGTGTGCATGTATGTGCTGGTCAGCTCTTAGAGCAAGTTAGGTGGAAAAGTTGAGTGGTTTGTAGCAGTTTTGAAGGTAAACTAACCTATGATCATTTATTCATGGAGCCTTTGTCTACTTTTGGGACCCTGGGTTAGAGGATAGCAGTAGAAAAGTGAATAAAAACTAGTTTCTGCCTTTACAGGCTATTGTATTTTTTGTTTTATTTATTTACTTATTTATTTATTTTTGGCTGCGTTGGGTCTTTGTTGCAGTGATTGGAGACTCTTTGTTGCGGTGCGCAGACTTCTCACTGCAGTGGCTTCTCTTGTTGCGGAGCACGGGCTCTAGGCGTGCAGGCTTCAGTAGTTGTGGCACGTGGGCTCAGTAGTTGTGACTCACAGGCTCTAGAGTGCAGACTCAGTAGTTGTGGTGCACGGGCTTAGTTGCTCCGCGGCATGTGGGATCTTCCCGGATCAGGGCTCGAACCCGTGTCCCCTGCATCGGCAGGCGGAATCTTAACCACCGCGCCACCAGGGAAGTCCCAAGCTATTATAAATTATATTTACACCAAGGTAAACAATAACAGTAGGATCAAATGCTGTGGTGAGACATAGGCAAGACCCCTGGGCAAGGAACAGTCTGACTTGGGAATGCTTCACAGAGAAGGTGATGGTTGCACCAGTCTTGAAGGATGGGTAGAGTTCCCAGGCAGAGAACAGGGGAAAGGGCTCCAAGGGTTCAGGGAGGGTGAAAAGACAAGGTCAGGTGGTGGAGGAAGAACTTAGATCCAAGTGGGTGAAAGGGAGTTGAGGAGGTAGAGACAGGGTGCAGCTGTTTTTGATTTTTTTAAGACTATGGAAAGGAGGGGGGAGGAATGGGGCAGTACCTTTGGGGATGGAGGGGGACATGTTTTATTTTGTTTTCGTTTGGGAAGAGCCGGTGTACAACCTCTCAGACTTGATGGCCTCACAGGCGAGCCCTGGAAGTGTGTTGTCTGTTCCGGATGATCTGGAGCTGCATTATTCACACCGCGGATTATTTCCTTATCTTGTTTTTCCGTGTATCTGCTTTGGGTTGAGGCCTTAGATCCTGTGGGAAACCATTTCTTGCTGGTGGTAGGGGAGGAACCTGACTAAAGAGGATTCCTGCTCTATCTTTCCTGAACGTTTATTTCTCTGCTGTTACTTCCAGAGCCTCCTGAGATTCTGCTTTGGCACCTCCAGCGTTTGGCCTCTGCTCAGGTAGGCTCTTTCCTGACAAAGAAGGCCTTTTTCTCTCTCTTTCCTTGTTGTGTCCTATTCCCCAGACTGCTGCCGTGTGACGACAGCAGTTACTTCAGAGTTGGAGGGCATTGGCTGCCCATGCACCATGATGTTTTAAGTTCTGGAGTGTCTCCAGGCTCACAGCAAGATTGGGGGGAGGGGTGTCTGTCTGACTATCTAAACACATAACCCCTCAGCTACATGTTGGCCTGAAATGTGATGTTGATTATGAAATCAGTGCTCCAGAAATGTAGGTTACAGGACATGTAACTGGTCAAATCGTAGCCTCAGTGGGCCTCGGTTTCTCAGTTGTTGACGTGCAGTTACCTTTCTCAAATCCAGAAGGCTGTCAGCTCCTTGGGGCCAGAGACCCCTTCTTTGATTTCTGTATCCCCAGACCAGTGTAATGCTTCACACATAGTCAGTGTACCCAAGAAGTGTCCTGGCGAAGTAACTTTAAAAATCTGAACTTTAGTTTGTTGCCCATTAGTGGAAACCATACCCATTTTATCCAAATGAGTTGGATTGAAATTGCTCTTCATTCATAGAATTCCAGAGCTAGAAGCGAATCTTCCACTCTACACTGCCATGCAGTAGATGCTCAAGAAGTGTTTGTTCCTGTCCTGAATTCCCTGTCTCAGTAAGTGACCCCACCTGCTACCACTCTGCACTAGTCATTCTAGATTGCCCTCTTTGCTTTGCCCCCTGTGCACTGAGTTCCTGGATTCTACTTGCTAAACGTGTCTCCTCCATTACATCCTCGCCATCACTGCCCAGGTACAGGCTGCCCTCATTTTTAAGTCTTTAATCATTTATCTGGAGACATTTTCACTAGTCTCCTTACCTGTGTCCAAGCTCTAGTCTTGCCCTTCCAATCTGATGTTCACTTTGCTGCCAGAGTGGTTTAACTGTCATCTCTGATTGCCGTTCCCCTGCTCAGGATTCTTCCTTGGCTTCTTAGTGCCAGCTTTCATTTGTTCATTTAATAAAGTATACCTGTATATTTTGGGCAGATGCTAGACTTGGCGGGCCCTGGGATGGAGAGCTGAATAAAACAGACGTGCGTCTTACGCGGGCTGAATTTATCATGTAGTCTAGTGGGGGACACAGATTATTAATCACATAATCACACAAATAATTATATAACCACAATTGTGATAAGGGCCATAATGGAAAAGGGCCTGGTGCTGAAAGAGGGCGTGGGGAGCTGCTGTACAGGAGTGTGGGAGGGGAGGGAGAGGCTATGGTCAGGAAGGTGACCTTTACGCTGGGCCCTGAAGCATGGTTAAGGGCTAGCCAGATGTGAGGAATGTCAACTGATGTGCATAGGATACAAGGACCTTTGGGTATCTGGCCCTTACCTACCTGTCTAACCTTGTCTCTTACACTCTGCTGCATGGATTGCTGTCCCAGTCACACTAAGGCCTCTTTCCCACCATGGCCAATTTCAGTTCTTAGCTCAAACAAAAAAATTAATTTCTCTGAGATGCCTCCTGTGAACTCCTGAAGGCAGATTTAGGGGAAAGAACACCTCTTCCAGCCTCCTTGTCCCTTTGAGAGGTGTAAATAATGTGGGGCAGCGGCCTTCCTATTATATCCAGTACAGGCATTTAGGGCAGTTTCTTGGGCCAATAAGGGGTGAGGGTGCCGATATCAAACTAAGATGAGGAGGTAAGTATACAACCCCTCTAAAATATAAGACTCTCCTGAGACGGAAGCCATTTGTGAAAAGTTGGGGAAAAAAATGCTGGGGTGATTTTGATCCCACTCACTTGCTAATATGTATTATCGCCTTTTGACTTCATAATAACTGTCCAAGGTGGTGATTATCTTTGTTTTGTAGAAAAAGACATGCCTGTTGGCAGAAGTTGAGTAATTTGTTGGGCTCCATGTCCTGTGGTACTCTTTCTTTCTTTCTTTTTTTTTTGTGGTACGCGGGCCTCTCACTGTTTAACTACAGGTTAAACAGTTCTCTCTTTATTGGTATAAAGCATTATGAGTACTACAGAAGACATTTAGAATGAGAATATTCAATCTACAGTTTCAAGGCTTGATTTTATCCTTTGTTCCCCTATTCTGTGAGCATTTGCTAATCCTCTTGTGAAGAAAAATGCTTTTTCAGAAACAAATGGAGAGAATGTAATATGCAAAAGTACATTAAAATTGCAGCTTTGGTAAGGATAAATTTTTTTAAAAAATAAATTTATTTTTGGCTGCTTTGGGTCTTCGTTGCTGTGCGCGGGCTTTCTCTAGTTGCGGCGAGCAGGGGCTACTCTTCGTTGCAGTGTGCGGGCTTCTCACTGCGGTGGCTTCTCTTGTTGCGGAGCACGGGCTCTAGGTACACAGGCTTCAGTAGTTGCGGCACGCGGGCTCAGTAGTTGTGGCTCGCGGGCTCTAGAGCACAGGCTCAGTAGTTGTGGTGCACAGGCTTAGTTGCTCTGCGGCATGTGGGATCTTCCCGGACCAGGTCTCGAACCCGTGTCCCCTGCATTGGCAGGTGGATTGTTAACCACCGCGCCATCAGGGAAGTCCCAAATTTTTTTTTTTTTTTTTTTTTTTTTTTCCCCCAGTACGTGGGCCTCTCACTGCTGTGCCCTCTCCCGTTGCAGAGCACAGGCTCTGGACGTGCAGGCTCAGTGGCCATGGCTCACGGGCCTAGGCACTCCGCGGCATGTGGGATCTTCCCGGACCGGGGCACGAACCCGTGTCCCCTGCATCGGCAGGCGGACTCTCAACCACTGTGCCACCAGGGAAGCCCAGTCCCCAATTTTTTAAAGCAGAAAATAGAATCTTCCTAAATTGTACTTAAATTACTTGCTTGGTGTTGGCTATTCTGTGCCACTGGGGAGGACTCTTGCCATAACAAAATTGTATGCAAACTCTGAAGGGGAAGTTATTTTCAAGGTGCCATTCAGTTTTTAGATGACCAGTAATTACCTGTCTGTCTTTTGAATGGTTATTTGCCTGCAGTTTCCTTTCTCAAAGAGCAGTTTCTAAACATTTCAAAAAGTTTTTAATGGTATTATTTATTTAACTTTAAAAAAAGTTTTACTGTGCAAAACTTTCTGTTACAAGTTATGTGAATCTTTTTAAATATTTATTTATTTATTTGGCTGCGCTGGGTCTCAGTTGCGGCATGCGGGATCTTTAGTTGCAGCATATGGAATCTAGTTCCCTGACCAGAGATTGAACCCGGGCCCCCTGCATTGGGAGTGTGGAGTCTTTGCCACTGGACCACCAGGGAAGTCCCTGGAATTATTAATTAATAATGTTTATTAGGTAAGTCTTTGGCACTTTGGTGGCATTAGGGCATTTCCTCTTTTTAGTTGATTGCTGGGTCAGGTAACTCACATGGCATGTCAGAATTGGAGGAAAAACAGAAATGTCAAAATAGATTTATTTTAGTGCTATTGTTTCCCAGGAAATTAGAAAGGCCTACGTCAAAGGGGGAGGCATTGTATTATTTCAGGAAAAAATGCAGGGCCCAGGAGTCAATTTAGGCAGCTCTTACTTGGGCATAGGACTGGGGCATAGGAAGTCCTTATCCTATTTGACCCTGCTTTCTCATCTGTTAAATGGGTATTATACTTCCATTGTATTCTTGGTTGTGAGGAATAAATTATATAACATATGTAAAGAATCCAGTGCATACATAGATTCCCAGTAGTTGAATTGTTTACTCTTTTTGAAACCTGCATTAAAACAAAACAGTGGGCAGTTGTGGCAGTAGAAGACATTTTTAAAACTTGAAAAGAGACAATGGAAAGAAAGGCCAACTGTAGTTTTGCTATAAGACTCATTTCTATATAAACTTATTTAGGTTAGTAATAGATTTTTAGGAAAGTAGTATGGGTAATAATGAGAGAGATCTAGTAAGTCAAGACAAAAATTGGTGTTTATGGAACTTTAAAGTGAAGTGTTTTTAAATTGGTTTAAATTTTCTAATGACCTTATTCTTACGTTGCTCGCATCTGAAAACCTAGAGTTTTTCTCTTCTTTTGAGGCCTCATATCAGCTCTGTGATGTGAAGCTCCTTCTGTGCATTTTTAACTCTTTAATGGCACTTGGATTAACCTTAAGTATCATTCAGAGATAGATATGTGGTGAATTATTTAGTCTAGCAAGTTTTCCATTGATTTTGAGAAGCTAAGAGTTCATCACAGTTCCCTAAATGGTGAGCTACTAGGTAGTTTTCAAGATCAGCCTTCCTAACCCTATTAAACTTATCTCACTTCTACCCCACGGCCTAACTTCACGCACGTTGGCGTTCTCCTTTCGGAAGCCATATGCACTTCTCTGCTACCTGTTCCCCCACTGTCAGGAGTGGTGTCTCACTGCTCCTGGTGAAGGGTAAGGCCTGATCTGTGGGTTGCCCCGTCCTTGGGTATCCTGCCTTTGGTATCCTCTGCTCTTCCTTTGACGGAACTCACTGACGTTAACTTGTATAATTGATTGTCTTTTTATATGTAGATAACTTATTTGTAAGATTCTAAAGGACAGGGACTGTGTTGTGTTCTACACAATTAGGGCTCAAATGTTTGCTAATAAAAACAGACTCAGTGTTCCTGTTCCTTCCTCAGCCTGAAGAAATTGCATACTTTGTCCCTCAAGGGTGGTAGAATATTTCATTGAATATGTCTTGTTTGTTAAGATTACATAAATATGTATGTATATTTTCAGGGAAATTGGTTTACTTTATAAATCTCAATGGAAAAGTGAATTGAATGAATAATTATGTACAGAAATTCAAAATTTTAATGTCTGCCTTTCCTAGATTAAAAAGTAGCACACATCTGCTGTGAAAAATTTGAAAAGAACAGAAAAGCATAAAGAGAAAGAAAACTACAATTTTTTTTTTTTTTTTTTTTGCGGTACACGGGCCTCTCACTGTTGCGGCCTCTCCTGTTGCGGAGCACAGGCTCCGGATGCGCAGGCTCAGCGGCCATGGCTCACGGGCCCAGCCGCTCCGCAGCATGTGGGATCTTCCCGGACCGGGGCACAAACCCGTGTCCCCTGCATCAGCAGGCAGACTCTCAACCACTGCGCCACCAGGGAAGCCCCAGAAAACTACAATTTTACCAATTAACATTTTGGTATTTTTAGTATATATGCAGACAAGTTATATGCTTTTAAAGAAATTGGGATCCTATGGCCATGAAATTTGGTATGTGAATTTTTTTACTTAATATTTTATTGTGACAATTTCCCATGAGATTAAATAGCTTAAAAATATAGCAGCATAGTGTTAATGTTGGGTATACCATTTCCTTATTGTAGACCTTTGATTATTTCTGAGATAGATAGATAGATATACTTTTTTTTTTTTTTTGGCTACGCCATGCGGCATGTGGGGTTTTAGTTCCCTGACCAGGATTCGAACCCATACCCCCTGCAGTAGGGCGTGGAATCTTAACCACTGGACAGCCAGGAAAGTCCCTGATTTTTTTTTCTCTCATATATGAATATCACTGAACATTGTTGAATATAAATATTTGTTCATGTCTTTATTTCTTTAAGACATAAATCTAGTAATAAGATTATTAAATCGAGGATATTAATTATTTTAAGGCTCTTGATACAGGTATTGCCAAATTGCTTTTCAGAAAGGTAATTTGCAGGCCCAATAGTGTGAGAGAATCC